ATTGATTTTTGGTCCTTCAGGAGTTTGGTTCCATCTGATGAGCGTAGAGGCTGTATGCCATAGTTTCTTGGAACATAGATGACCTTTGTGGCTTTGAGAAATCCCTGAGCATCATGGGTATCTGCCAGGTGTTGGATTTCTTCAGCCTTCTTTGTCCACCAGATGTTCTTGAGTTCTATTGCCTTCTTTGTCCACCAGATGTTCTTGAGTTCAGCTTTTGCGCTGGCATAGATCTTTTTCTTAGCAGCACAGTTGATGTCTCTCTGTCATGTTTGGAAGGCTTTCCTCTTCTTGTCAATTAGCTGTTGGATCTCGCTATAATTTTCATCAAACTAATCTTGATGTTTCTTGGTTTGATATCCAATAGTTTCTTCACAGGCTGTGATGATGGAGGTCTTCAGTTTGTTCCAATGTTCCTCAACATTTTCGGGGTGTTCTGTGGGTAGATGGTCTTTGAGTGCTGTTTGGAGAAGGGCTCATGTGGAGGGCTCCTGAAGGGCTTGGGTGTTCATTTTGCGCCTTGTCTTTCTTCCTTGGAGTTTGCACTTGGGGGCAATCTTAATAGCCATTGTGGATCGGATTAGCCTGTGGTCTGTCCAGCAGTCGTCAGCACCTGTCATGGCTCTTGTGAGAAGCATGTCACGATGGTCTCTGGCACATGTGATTATGTAGTCTAAGAGGTGCCAATGCTTTGACTGGGGGTGCTTCCATGATGTCTTCAACGTGTTTTTCTGGTGGAAGAGCGTGTTGGTGATGACAAGGTTGTGTTCCGCACATTTGGTGAGAAACAGGATGCCATTCGAGTTACTGTTTCCAACCCCGTCCAATACACAATGGAGGGATTTTTTTTAAAAAAAATCATGCACTAAAAAAAATCTTCCGTAAGGTCTCTCTTTTCCCTCAAATCTTAATTCAACCTCTGCTCAAATTTATAAAAGATAAAATAAAGACATTTCTGATTGTTCTCCATTTGTGTGTGTCTGTTTGACAGCCTGATAAGCTGTTTCAGGTTTTTTAAATTGCACATGTACTGGACCAGTCTACACTGGTAAAAGGAAGGGAAGAAAAGCACATGTTTTGCATGACTGCAAGGATATACAGACATGCAAATGTGCACTTTTTCAGGTGGAATAAGGTTATAAGAATACTGTTTTAATACATACTTTTTACCTCTCAATTTGCTCCCTCCCTCATGATGGCTAAACATCTTTTAGCCACCACTACCCCCCTTTAAACTTGGTTACTTCTGGGTTTTACAGCATATGTAGAAAGGCCCTAAGACTGGCAGCATTAAGATTCCATTTTCCTAGTGTGTATAGGTTGGTACTAGCTGTTGTCAAGGCTGCTACTAAACTTTTCCACATTCCAGTATTTAGAAACTCAAATATTGCCATAAAGATGACATTTTTGTGTGACATACATACTTTATTCTTTTGCTTTTCTTTTTATTTATGTGATTATTGTTGTTCCTTCCAACATATTAATAAAGCAGCTGGATGCTGTAACATACTGTAACCACTTGAGAAAATAATTTCTCTATTCTCAAGCAAAATATTACATATTATTTGAAAAATGCTTTCAAGTTAAAACACAGCATTTCCCCACCTGTAGATGCATCAGGGTTTTGCTTAGTCAGAATGTACATTGATTTAACCATAGCCAATTGCCCTATTCTCTCACACAATGAAAACATTCATCCATCAAACAAGAAAGAGAAGTTTAATTGTTTTTCCCCATCTTTCTAATATGAAAATATTTAACCCCAAAGAGATTTGAGTTTAATAGCAGTCAATCCAATAGTTTTGCTCTAATATTTGTTTTATATAGATTGGTCTCTTGAAAGTCACATGTAACAATAAATTTCTAATGTGAGTCCAAATCAATGGGGATGACTTTCAAAGGATATCTTGAAACTGGGACACTGAAAAAAAAAAACCTTTTTGTATATAAAACAAACACACCAACAAACAAACCCATTACAATTGCAGGTTTGTTTTTTTTTGCATGAGGGTTGGACTAGATGGCCCATGAGTTCTCCTGGATTCATCACTGAGTCTGGCACCCTCAGGAAGGTCTTCAGTTTTTTCCTAAAAGACATGAGGGTGGGGGCTGCTCTAATGGTAAAAGATCTGAAAGTCAGGCCCCACAATGAACACTTTAAGGAGTTGGACATGTTTAGCTTAGAGAAGAGAAGATTAAGATGTGCCATGATAGCCTTATTTAAAGAATGTCATATTGAAGGTAGAGCAGACTTGTTTTCTTCTGCTCTCTACAGACTAGAACACAATGGATTTGAACTGCAAGGAAAAAAATGATTCCGTCCTTAAGGAGTGTGTTGATTGTGTATTCCTGCATGGCAGGGGATTGGGTTAAATATTCCTTACAGTTGCTTCCAGTACTACAATTCTACCCTGCTCTTTAATGATTAATTGACCCAGAGCTGGATATCATTCTGAAACACCTTTATGTTATTGGTACATTATAACTGTGCACTTAACTTTGAGGTCAGGGTGGCTTACAATTCCTCGTGTGACTCAGATCTATGAGTAACAAATCCTTTTATTGTGTTCTTTTTCTGAAATCTTTCATACCAGTTTAATCAAAAGGGAGTGGAAGTTTAAAGTTGTCTAAACCAAATGTCATTAGTCCTAATGGTTTGCTTCTGACATTTTTAGGAAAGAATGTTTCTGTAACATACAATTAGAAGTAACCCTTCTGACTAAGTTCATTATCATATGAAATCATGTAGTAAGCACAATCCCCATTTTATAGGAAAGTTTTCTGGTTTTAACCAATGTTATGTTTGGAGTTTATGAGAAGAAAGCACAGAAATCTGGTAGGAAATAGAAATTTAGCAGACTTTAATGTTTGTCTAGATATCTAAGTGAATGCATTTATGGAATTCTGGTTTGGAATTCCCCTCTGGTGTTTACAACCAGTTCTTGAAGTCAAGCTGCATGCAAATGTGTACAATAGCACACATGTTAGCCTCCTCATTGAAATGTTAGCTTTGAAACTGATTCAGAAATTCCTTATTTGAAATTTTGACTTAAAACACAAGAAGCCAATTACAGTTATGGCTTATATCAGAAGATGTGTCCCCTATTTTCCCTCTACCCTTTGTCTGCTCCTCCCTGACCTGGCACCCTCAAATTCTGCTCCAAAAAAACAAACATTCATGTAACATACTGTGATGAGATCCCTCTTCAGACTCCCCCTGCAGTTCCAGTCTCCTCCTCCTTTTCTTTCTGCTTCTTCTGCTCCTGTGGTGGAGGCTCCTTCTTTGGAGGATTTTAAGCAGAAGCTGGATAGCCAACTGTCAGGGGTGCTTTGAATGCATTTTTTCTGCTTCTTGGCAGGGGATTGGACTGGTTAGCTCACGAGGTCTCTTTCAATTCTATGATTGTATGATTGTATGATTTTATGATTCTTATTATATTTATTCCTATCCTACTTTTTCTCTCTCAAAAGACACTCATAGTGGCTAACAATGCTAAAATCTACAACATACAAACAACATATAAAATAGAATTAAACACAGAGCTACTAAAATAAAATATTTAAAAAGCATTAAAACTATTAAACCCTATTAATATACCGTACATAAAACATACACCGCACCCCCTGGCTTGGTCTTAAAAACTTTCTCCTGTTTCACCCGTAAGATCCCTTCCTGGATCAGGCACTTGGACCTCAAGAAGATCTCTCTATACCAGACATGCGACTATGTTGGCCAATTGTGATAAAATGTGACCAGTTCTTCCCTTCAATTTTTAATGAAACAGGCACAGCTTTAGAACACAAAACAAAGATTTATTATATAAATTTTAGATTAAACTCCTTTCCCAATAACAGCTACAAAACTTAGCAGATTTTCATCCTACTCTGTCTTAACTATATTGGTTATTACCTTTAAAGCCCTACATAGTTATGGGCCAGGCTCTCTATGTGATAGTATTCACCTATATAATCTGCTTTAAACACTTAGGCTCTCTGAAGGATATTTACTTCAATCCACCAGAATTAACCATCCAACTGTCACACAGAGTACATTTCTTTCAGCCACCCCCAGGACTATAGAATGACCTGCCAAAAGACTTTATTGACAGCTGAATATGCTGTTTGAGATTAAAACTTCACTTAAAACCAATCTCTTGCAGTAGATTAAAACAACACTAAAAACTAATCTCTCCCAGCAGGTCCTCCTTGACATTTTTAAAATTATTATTATTAAAAGAAGAATTGGCTGTTATTAATATGTATTTATTTTATATGCTCTTTAAATTGTTAGGTATTTTTAAGCTGATGATAAGTATTTGTGACTTAACTTATTGTTGTATAACACAACCACTAGTTTCTCTGAGCGATGTCCCCAAAAATAATTCCCCAAGAAATGTTTTGGGCCTCTCAAAGTCCTCCAGAGCACTTATATCATATGCTTCTAGTATTGTCAAAAATAGGGCTCACTAACATCCAGGGTTTCAGATATCCACAGGGGGTCTTGAAATATAACTCCACATATGGGGGATATATTGTTTCAGTTGTTCTCCATCTTGATGCATAGGAAGTGGTGGATTGAAAGTGATAATAATGATATTTATTGCTATTTCATTTTTTCCTTATCTGACACTTTAACAGACAATTCTATAATTTGTATCCTTCTCTCCCATAGGGCTCATTTTACAGCCTTCCCTGTGTTGTAATTCAGCAATTGGCTGGCTCTAACCAATGTTGCCCAGCTTCTCTTCTCATAAAAACATATTATGATGTGTTCAATAACGTTTAATGTTTTATCAGGGGAGTGTCAATGTTGATGTTTTATACTGTTTTTATCAATGGCATTGAATTGTTGCCAACATTGTGAACCGCCTGGAATCCCCTTCAGGGTTGAGAAGGGTGGCATATAAATACTGCAAATAAATATTTTTGTTTCAGTAATGTCATATTTAAATGGTCTAAGATTCTTAAGCACATAATTTGTTTTCTTTTTGTGTTTGCAGCACTGGATGAAGAAGAACCAACTTCAACAGGTAAGATAGCCTTAACAGTGTATGCTCAACAATGCGATTCTAACTCAAAAGATATCTCACTAGTGGGAAGTTGGAAGTATGATGAAGCTTCTTGTACTGGCTAAATTGTGTGTCTGGCAACATAAAGCAAGTAAATTTCAGAGATCAGCTGGCAGAGGAGTTTGCTGACAAGCTGCTCTATTCTTTCAGCTCAGCCAGCAAAAAAGGCCAAGAGAGGGGTTGAAAAAAAGTGGAGTAACAAAGGAGTTGAGTTTTTCCAAGTCCAAATCTTCCTCAAGCAAGGAATGTAGCCACTAAACCAGCACAAAGTTAGGTCAAAGCAAGGGTAATTCTAAGTTGCTTCAAAGTTGCAAAGTACTTGGAATGAAAGTTTTTCAGTATCACTTCAACTAGCATAGTGATGTCTCAACTGGTCCTGGCCAATTGTCTAGTACACGCAAGCTCTAGTTCAGAAAACAAAAGCTCTCAAAGATCTGTTTTCTCGCAAATCCATATTTTGACAACAACCCAGAGGCACAGACAGCAAAGCAAACTCCACCTTCTCCTGTGCTATTCAAAGCGCTCTCTCTCTCTCTCTCTCTCTCTCTCTCTATATATATATATATATATTAGGCTTGGGTGATAAAAAAAGGTTCAAAACACATTTTGGATGTAGGGGGCGCTGGCAATTCGATTTTGAAATGATTTCCAAAATTTTAATGAAAAAAAGATCGGAAATATCAGGAAATCTGAATCGCTTCGTTTGCTTCGTTAATGGAAGGTGCCCCTCCCTCCCTCCAGAACCATTAAGCATAAGCAATTTTGGCAAAGCCTAACAAATGGTTTTAAAATTTCGCGGTTTCCCTTCCTTCCCTGGCAACGAGCTGAGATGCAGAGGGACGAGGTAGGCGTGGCTAAGCACAGCTCTTCCTGAAGGCCTCTGGGGGCGTGGCCTTCAAGAAAAGCTGTGCTTAGCCACGCCCACCTCATCCCTCTCCATCGCAACTCACCGCCAGGGAAGGAAGGGAAACCACGAGATTTTAAAACCGTTTGTTAGCCTTTGCCAAAATTGCTTATTGGTCTTAAAATTAAAATAACTGTGGGAGACATCCGAAAATAATTCCAAACAATGGGTAAGTGGTTTGAGTTCAGAATTGCTCCTCCCACTATTCCTGCATGGCTCGAAATTGATTCAAAGGTGAATTTAATCCGAATTAATTATGATTTTAGAAGCTTCCGAACGAACTAACCCAAGCCATATATATATATATATATATATATATATAGATAGATAGATAGATAGATAGATAGATAGATAGGAGTAACACTAAATATGTACCTGTTGTGACTTACAAACAAATTCACCTTATAACAGATCTACAGAACCTATCGTGTGCATAACTTGGGGACTGCCTGTATAACAAAACAATTACATTAAAATGGAAGAAAATCAAGGAAATTATTTGAAAATACATAGGAAAAGAAAAATGCCTATACAACTGGTGCAATTTTTGAAAAAATTGCAAACTGATGTAGAAATAGATTGGCATGTTCATCACATAATTCTAAAATTATCTTAATGAACATGCATCCTTGTTCCTTTCTAGATGATATTCTCATGGCATTAAATGTAAGTTGTTGTTTTAATGTGCTGTCTGTGTATCTTGGCAGAGTTACCTTGGTGACTGTTGTCATTCTAGCGAATGCAAAGAAAATCATGACAATCTATTGTTGAAAGAAAGAAAATTCTTAATTGACTTCTACTGTATAATATAGTAATACAACATCTGGCTTATGCCCTGGCTAAAAGGGGAACTGTTTGGTGGGAGGTTATAATAATGGTAGCTCTCTACTGGAAATAGCCCACCTCAGTGGGGCATATTGAGTCCATATGTGAATTTGAAATACGCTCAGTGTGTATCAATTTGTGTAACTGTATTTTCAAAGAAGTGAAGAAAAGATTATCTTCTCAGCTGAATCCTGATCCAGCTAGTTTCATATCGCTTGTTCTACCAGGTGCTTAGGCGATCCCTCGTTGGCTGAGTAGGATTGTCTTCCAGGATCAGTATTCTTGTGGGTCCGTAGGTGACTGTGGAACCCTATTCTTGACCTGCATCTTCTCCTGCAGTGAGGGCATTGGTTTCCAGGTAGAAGGCAGTCCCGGACGGGGTTGGCTTAATGCGCCTTCCTCCTGGCACGTTTTTCTCTTTCACCCTCCATTCATGCCTCTTCAAATTCTGCAGCACTGCTGGTCACAGCTGACCTCCAGCTGGAGCACTCAAGGGCCAGGGCATCCCAGTTCTCAGTGTCTATGCCACAGTTTTTAAGGCTGGCTTTGAGCCCATTTTTAAATCTCTTTTCCTGCCCACCAACATTCCTTTTTCCGTTCTTGAGTTCGGAAAAGAGCAACTGCTTTGGGAGATGGTGGTCAGGCATCCGGACAACGTGGCCGGTCCAGGGGAGTTGATGGCGGAGGACCATTGCTTCAATACTGGTGGTTTTTGCTTCTTCCAGCACGCTGACATTTGTCCGCTTGTCTTCCCAGGATATTTGCAGGATTTTCTGGAGGCAGCACTGATGGAATCATTCCAGGAGTTGCATGTGACAGTCCACGTTTTGCAGGCATATAGCAGAGTTGGGAGGACAATAGCTTTATAAACAAGCACCTTGGTATCCCTACGGATGTCCTGGTCCTCAAACACTCTCTGCTTCATTTGGAAAAATGCTGCACTCGCAGAGCTCAGGCGGTGTTGTATTTCGGTATCGATGTTGACTTTGGTGGAGAGGTGGCTGCAAAGATAGCGGAAATGGTCAACATTTTCTAATGTTACACCATTAAACTGTATCTCTGGCATTGGAGAGGGGTTGGCTGGTGACTGCTGCTGGAACAGCACTTTGGTTTTCTCGGTGTTCAATGACAGGGCAAGCTTCTCGTATGCTTCTGCGAAGGTGTTTAGAGTGGCTTGTAGATCTTCTTCTGAATGCGCATAGATGACATTGTCATGAGCATACTGGAGCCATTGCTGTCCAAGACTGTTGCCATCATGGAGGAGCCGCAGGATGTTCACAAATTTGTTGGGGCACCCGATTTTTTGGAGGATAGTCCAGAGAGTGCTGCGATTCACTGTGTCGAATGCCTTGGCAAGGTCAATTAACGTACAGAGGTTGATTTTTTTCCCTGCATTTTTCTTGGAGCTGTCGTGCAGTGAAGATCATGTCCACTGTTCCTCTGGAGGAGCGGAAGTCATTTTGGGATTCTGGGAGAGTGTCTTCTGAGAGGGGTAGAAGGCGGTTTGCAAGGATTCTTGTGATGATTTTCCCAGCTGAGGTTAGAAGGGAGATACCTCGATAGTTTCCGCAGTCTGTTCTTTCCACTTTTTTGAAGAGGGTGATGATGGTGGCACCCTCGATGGACTGTCACCTTGTCGTGGTGAGGGGGCTTGCATGTTCCAATGAACCTGCGGGCACAACTACTGGAGTCGTGCACTACCAGGAGTGGCCGCGGGGGAAGGTTCCAGACCAAGCACAGTCCAAAGACCCAAAGACCTCAACAGCGGAGCAGGCGGAGGATAACATGGTACATGTTACAACAGCTGTGAAGACGGAAGAAGGCTGCAACAGATTGAGAAGCCACGGTCATTGTGTTAAACTACACCACCAGTGGAACCTCACTCTGTGAAGCTCTACCAGGTAGCAATTTACTAGCAGTAGCAAATGTATTAGTTACCTGATAGTCCTAAAGCTAGAGGTACTAGAAGATAAACCAGGGACATTCTTCACACAAACATGTGTTCCACTATGTGTTTCTAAACTGTAATTCTTGTGAGCTGAGATTTTGCAAATGAGTTGTTGGTTTGCACTACACATTTCTATCTTTTCCTTTCTCCAAGGATGATATTGATGATGATGATATAATTTTATTTCTTATCCACCTTTCCCCATGGGTCAAGGTGGTTCACAGCAGAGTTAAGAACACACAAATACTACAAAAATGCTACAAAAACACATTAAAATTCAGTTCCATAAAAGATACAATCAAATCATTTCTGTAAAATACACATTAATCACACAGGACAAAGACCAAAACATATGACATGAAATTAAATTCATGCTTAAAGACTGTCTGGGTAGGCCTGCCAGAAGAGATGGCTCTTTACATGGTTTTAAAATTCCAACATCTGGTTTAGCTGTCAGAGTACGACCTACAGGTCATTCCACAGCCTTGTGGCAGCCTATGAAAAGGGCCACTTGATGATGGTTGCCAGTCAGGTTCTGGCTATTTGGAGCAGATGCCCCCCAGAGGACCTTAGTGTGTGAGGTGGATTGTACAGAAGAAGGCAATCTTTTAGGTAAACTGGACTCAAACCATGGAGAACTTTAAAGGTCAAAACCAACACCTTGTACTTCCTCCAGAAGTAATTGAAAGGGTTGTTTTTTTCCTCTCATCTTTACATCAGCCCCATGAGACACATTAGGTTACTGTATATGACTTCCCAAGACCACTCAGCTTGTATGTTCCTTAAAAATCTGAACTTGTCATCTTCATTATTGGTGGTAGAATTAGAGTTGGATTTATTAGGATTTCTGTCCTACTGCTCCTCGAAAGATTCTGTGTATGTTTGTGTCTGCTCACATACATGTAAGAAACACCACCAGCAATTATTTAACTCTTTTTTTCATTCTAGCCACTCATGCTCACCAGAAAGAAGAAGGAATCTGCCAGTGATTAACTTATGAAAGGCTTTTTAGACATGTGACTATTGATCGCCAATGTCTTAATGAAATAAATAAAGCAGAAAGTAAACGAGAAAGGCACAAGCTAATTAAACACAGGTGCACTTTCTTTCACTTTACAGAAAGAAAGAAAGAAATGAAGATAAATTATCCAATTATGAATTGTATGATGACACTGAAATATGTTTCCTTCAACTAAGCTTTTATTCCAGAGGATGTAAACACATTTATAAGTATAAAGCAACATAAGCAATTTCTCACATGAGTAATCCCCTTATATGCAGTGG